TACACACACCGCACCAGGCCAGCTCAGGCCATTTGCACATTTCTGAGCTGTGGTCAGCCTGACTGTGGGCAGTGTACCTGCAGAGTGGCAGTGCCATTCCTGGCTGTGGCCTGTGGCTTGCACAGAATAAGCGTGGACAGCACGTCCCTCAGCCTGGTCACAGGGGTGCTGAGCAGCACCAGGCACAGCCCAGGTCTCCAGGGGATCTAATACCCGAGGACCCAGAGCACATTAGTGAAACGACAGCCAGTTTCAAGAACAGGAGCAGGGCCAGCCACCGTGGGCTAACGGTCAGGGAGGAGCCCCTGAAGGAGACGTGCGTGAAGCTGTGAGAGGCAAGAGGACATTCCAGGCCAAAGGAGCAACCTGGCAAAGATGTGGAGGCAGAAGTGTGGACCAGAGATTTGCAAAACTGGCTGAGCATCCCGATGGCCAGGGCCCCCTGCATGCATGCCTGCCAGCACCACGCACACAGAGGGCAGGAGACCAGCAGCACCCTCTGGGACCATGCTCTCAACAGCGACTCCCTCAGCCCTGAGAATAGAACCTAGCTCCATACCACACGGAAAGCCAGGATACTTGTTCCTCCCTCCATTCCCCTTTGTTTCCATACAGACACCTGGAACCCATCCATCCACTGACCCATCCATATGTCTGCCCAACCCCCTCCACTCACCCATCCATCCGTCCGTCCATCCACCCATCCACCCATCCATCCATCCATCCATCCATCCATCCATCCATCCATCCCCCATCCATCTATCCACCCCAAATCTCCCTGTGCTGGAATTACAGGGGTGAGCACCTGTGCCCAGCCAGTCCTATAACTATTAAAAATTGAGCAGTAATGAAAAATCTTCCCTAAAGAAAACAGGTGGCCTTATAAGTGACTTTTATCAGACTTTCAAGGAACAGATCATCCCATTCTTATATAAACAGGACAATGAAAGGGCGGGGTGCTGCCCATACAGGATGAGACAGAGCCGGAGTCCAACACCAGCAAGAACACCAACAGACAGAAAATCGCCAGTCGGCTCAAGTGTGCCCCAAAGTCTGAAGCACTCGCAAATCCGATTCAACCACTCAGCATCGTACGAGAAAGGCAGGACACTTGGCCAAGTCAGGTTTTTCTATGAAGAAAGGATGATTTAATACTAGAAAATAAAGATGTGAATATGAAAGCCTCAATGAAAAAAATTATAGGATCCTGTCAAAGGATGCAGAAGAAACATTTTGTAAAATTTGAGAAGCACATTCACGATAAAACTCTGCATCGAGGGGACCTCGGGTCAGAGGTGGGTGCCACTGCACATGGGAAGGGCAGAGGCACTCTGTTTAGAGGGCAGATGGGGAGTGGTCAGTGTCGCCCTGAGCTGGGGCAGTGCTCGCCGTCACATGGCTTCCGTTCCAAGACTCATTGCTGTTCCTTGCTGCGTATGGTAAGAGAAGGAAGGAACACGTGTGGCGTGGCCATCAGACAGGAGGAGCTAACACTTGTTTCTTTATCAGTGATTGACCAGCTAGACAGGAAAACTAAAAGAATCTGCAAGTTATTAGAAATATAAAGAGCCGGGCATGGTGGCGCGTGCCTGTAATCCCAGCTACTCAGGAGGCAGAGGCAGGAGAATTGCCTGAACCCAGGAGGCGGAGGTTGCGGTGAGCCTAGATCACGCCATTGCACTCCAGCCTGGGTAACAAGAGCGAAACTCTGTCTCCAAAAAAAAAAAAAAAAAAAAAAAAAAAAAAGATGGCTGGATATAAAATAAAGATATTAAAGTGAATTGTGGCCAGGCAAAGTCACTCACGCCTGTAATCCCAGCACTTTGGAAGGCCAAGATAAGAAAATCCCGTGCACCCAGGAGTTCAAGACCAGCCTGGGCAACATAGCCAGACACTGTCTCTACAAAAATAAAAATAAATAAATTAGCTGGGCATGGTGGCATGTGCCTATAGTCTCAGCTACACAGGGAGCTGAGGTGGGAGGATTGCCTGAGCTCAGAAATTTTAGGCTGCAGTGAGCTCTGATGTTGCCACCACACCCCAGCCTGGGCAACAGAGTGAGACCCTGGCTCAGAAAAAAAAAAAAAAAAAAAAGTGAATTGCATTTCTGCAGACTAGCAACAAACAGAAAAATGTAATTAAAAAGAAAACAACTGGTCGGGCACAGTGGCGCATGCCTTTATCCCTAGCGCTTTGGGAGGCCAAGGAGAGAGGATCACTTGAAGGCAGGAGTTCGAGACCAGCCTAGGAACAGAGTGAGATCACATGTCTACAGAAATTTAAAAAAATCAGCTGGGCACGGCGGCGCACATCTGTAGCCTCACCTGCTTGGGAGGCTGAGGTGAGAGGATCCCTTGACCCCAGGAGGTGGGGGCTGCAGTGAGCCGTGACGGCACCAATGCGCTCCAGGCTGACGACCAAGTGAGACCCTGCCTCAAAACCGAAACAAAACACAGAGAGGACAATCCATTTTACAACAGAATCAGAAAACATCCCATTCCTGAGGATAACTCTCGTAAACAATATCTAAGACATCTGCAGCAAAACTTCAGAATGTTAAACCAACTTCAGGTGGATCAAATGTGAAGAACAAAACGTAAAACTCTGGGTAGGAAATGTCGGTGACTATCGGCTCGACCTTGAAGTGGGAAAGGCTTCTTGTGAAAGTTGGGCCTTAACAGTAGAAGCAGCATGACTGCATCTGATTATATGACAACTGAGAAACGATTTTTCAGCAGGGGACACCGTCAGCCACCTTTTCTCTGTGGGGTTCAAGAGGTTAAACTCTTTCCGTCACGATTCCGAGATGGCATCAGCCTGGGTCACTCTCAACCCCTCACAAGCGGACAGTGGAGTTAGGGTTAGGGCTGGGGTTAGGGTTGGGCTTGGGCTTGGGGTTAGGGGCCACGTGATGTGACGTCACAGCCGACTGAAGGCAGAAGCTGTCACGAAAGTCTTGTTGTGGTTGTCCACAACCCAGACACAAAAGATTTACAAATATGCAACACTTTGTCACCCTTCCCACTAATTTTGGAAGGAAAAAATTCTCTATAAAAATGTTACGTATGTTAACATGCAATGAATGGGTATTGTGATTTTTAAATGAATTAATAGATAACTTACAAATGTCTCAGTTTTAATTTATAACACCACAAATACGAAGAGACAGAACTCACATAAGCAAAAGCTCTCAGGGGCACTCAATAATTTTTAGGGTTATAAATGTCCTGAAGCCAGCAAGTCTGAGAACTGCCATCCTAAAACAAATAGACAAATTACGAACTGGAGGTGGCACCCACAGTCCTGGCAAAGGGACGGGAATTCCTGTAAGAACTGAGACCCTTCACCGGAGAGGCACTCCTCAGCACATCCCTGTGGGCAGGGAGGAGACACAGCCCAGTGCCATCCCGAGAGAGACCCCAGACTCCTGACTCACCTGCGTCCTTCTGGGGCCAGACCGCAGACCAGACCTCAGACTCCAGGCCCCTGCGTCACCTGCATCCTGTGGGGGCCAGACCCCAGAGCAGACCCCAGGCCCCTGCCTCACCCGTGTCCTTTGGGGGCCAGCCATCCTTGCACCGTGCTCTGGGGCGTGCCGAGAACGGGGAGTTCCGGGAACAGACGCAGGTACACCCGCCCCAACCACGAGCCACACTTCCTCCTGGGCACGTGGCCCAGAGAAACCTTATCCAGATCTGTTCTCGGCTACACTCCAGGAAACACCTGCCTCCCCCTCGGGGACCCCACAGGCGGGGATTTAAATTTCACACTTCACCCGACGGGATAACACGCAGCTGGTGCCACGTTACGGCCACATGGCGCTACGCAGATGAAGTTCGGCAAGAAACGTACGGAAGTCCCAGAAGATCGCGTACAGCCTGAGCTCTTTTCAGAAAGTTAAAAACAGCACAGATGAAACCGTGGGACTTTTAGGAAACGCAATTTGGATAAAATCAGCGGAATGCAGGGGGGCAGGGCATGGCGGCACAGAGGGCACTTCCAGGGTCTGAGCTGGATACGCCGCGACTGGAGACAAGCACAGAATGAAAACCTCCTCACAGGGATAACAGGCACCAGGCCACGGGCGGCCGGGACTTAGGTTCTGGACACTGGGGTGCAATAAAACACAGGACCCCACAGCAGAGGCCCCCCGGGGCTCCCGGCCCAACTCTCAGGCAAAGGGCTTTAGCCTCACTTGCTTCAAAGTGAAAGTAAGCTGAGCTCCGGGAAAGCAGTGGGCAGGGGAAGCAGGATGGTGGGGGGGAAGTGGGGTACAGCGGAAGTGGGGTACAGGGGAAGTGGGGTGCAGGGGAAGCAGAGCACAGGGGAAGCGGGATGCTGGGGGGGAAGTGGGGTACAGTGAAAGCAAGGTGGTGGGGGGAAGTGGGGTACAGTGAAAGCAGGGTGGTGGGGGGAAGTGGGGTGCAGGGAAGTGGGGTAGTGGCGGGGAGCAGGGTGCAGGCGAAGTGGGGTGGTGAGGAGAGCGGGGCGGTGGGGGGAGGGGGCAGTGGGGGGATCGGGGGCGGCAGGGAACAATCCTAAGACTCTTTTTTCTTTGTTTTTGAGACAAGGTCTTGCTGTGTTGGCCAGGCTGGAGAGCAGTGGTGCAAACTTGGGTCACGGCAGCTTCGACCTCCTGGGTTCAAGAGATTCTCCTGCCTCAGACTCCCAAGTAGCTGGGACCACAGATGTGAGCCACTGCTTCCAGCAAATTTTTGTATTTTTAGCAGAGACAGGGTTTTGCCATGTTGCCCAGGCTGGTCTCAAACTCCTGGGCTCAAGCCGTCTGCCTGCCTTGACCTCCCAGAGCGCTGGGATTACAGGAGTGAGCCACCACGCCCAGCCACCAAACTCTTATTTCAGGGTCAAACTTTAAGGTCATGACACTAGGGCGCTGTGCCCCGCCGGAGGCCTGAAGGCAGGTGCGTTTCCGAGTTAATAGCAGAGGCCGCCTTAGAAGCCAGGGGGGGGCGTGGCGCGTCACCCCCACCAGCGCTTACCTCAAAGGTGTTTCCAGTGATGTCGAACTCCGGAGGAACGAAGGCACCCTCAGGGTCATCTTGGGGAGAAGAGAGAGAGGGGCTTCTGGTCACACCTGAGAACCGAACCCGCCAGCCAGGAAGGGCCTGGAGGTGGGTGGCCCTAGGTGCCCCCCCCCCGCAGGCCTGGCGTCCCCCAACGGTGAGAAAGGGAAATCCGCTCCCTGGCGGTTATGGTGGGAAATGGGTTTCACTGCTGCTTTCCCGAGAAGGAAGCTGAAGACGTTCACCAGGGAAAGTCAGCTCCCAGGCAGGGGGTCCAGCCACGGCAGGGGCTTGTGTCCACTCACAGTGGGGCCAGCAGATGGCCTGGGGGGGACAGAAGAGGTGCAGCCTGCCTAGGAGAAGGCTGAGGGGAGCGGTCAGGGCGGGCTGAGCCCCCCTCTGGCATCTGAGGGTGGGCGTGACAGCCCTGGCACAGCAGGCACCCCCACGGGCCCCGGGGTACTCTCCAGCCTGAGTCCCTCCGAAGGAGGAGAAGGTCTCCACGGGAAACCCGGCCCGCACAACTCCCAGTGTCCGCTCTGGCAGAGCCGGCGCTCACTTGCACCCTGAAAGGCGCCTCTGCCCACGGCCCCGCCGCCCCCTCACCGCTGAGCTGCTCCATGAAGCACACGTTCCCGCTGGTGTTGAAGGCCAGGGTGTCCGGCGTGATGCACATGCTCTGGAAGATGGCGGCGTGCGCCACGCTCTGCATGGCCAGGCTGCACTCCCGGCACACGGCCCAGGCCTCCTGCTCGCTGAGGCCGTGGTCCCGCAGGGAGAGGATGTCGGCCAGAGACACGTTTTCCTGACAAGACAGGACTGACTGTGAGCCGGGCAGGGCCCCCAGCCGGCCCCAGCACCCCCACCGAGACGATGCCGTGGGAGAGGGATGGCTCGTGGCAGCGTTTCAACACGTGGGTCAGGGAGAGGGCTTCAGGCCATGTCTTATTTTGTTTCAAGAGTCTTCCTGCTGTTCCCTGGCCATCAGAGACACAGAACATTTGGTGGCATATCAGCGAGCCTGGGCACAGGGCCTTCCTCCTGGAGGCTCGGCCGGAGCTGCTGGGTCACCTGCTCCCTGGGGCACCCTGACTCCCCCGCAGCAGGCTCATGGCTGGACTGGCCCATGGAGGCCACCAACAGATGAGTGACGTGACAGAGTCAACACCCCAACCCTGCACTTGTGTGGGGCTAACGGGGTATGCTCCTGATACACTCACGCAACATACAACCACAGGCACCTGCCTGACACACGAGACACGCAACCACGCGCACCTGCCCGACACACTCACGTGACATGCAACCACACACACCTGCCTGACACACGAGACACGCAACCACGCACACCTGCTGACACACGAGACATGCAACCACATGCACCTGCCCCCGACACACAAGACACACAACCACACGCACCTGCCCCCAACACACTCACACGACGTACAACCACACCCTCTGCTGACATTTGCTCCAGGCGGTTCACATGGAGGACGGTCATGGTGGTTCCCTGCACGTGGCCCAGCCGCCCCCATGTGGGCTCACCTCCAAATGTGAGTGGGCTCCTGGACTGTGTGAGGGCTCAGCTGTGATCATGAGGGCTGCCACCAACACCCAACCCTACGAACATGTGCACACGCGCACACATTCACCTATGTAGCACACATTGTGTGCTCACCCTCACACAGACACATGCATCCCCATTTATGCATCCCACACGGACACACGCCACACAGGTGCACTTAATATATTAACAGGCAGACACTGGTGCACAAGTGTGCCACACTCACACTTCCATCCACTTCACAAGCACACACTCATGCAGCGAGAAGAGACATCCTCATGCACATGCACATACCTCACACACACACGTACTCTCACATACACACATACACACACACATCCAACCGCACACATGCCTAACACTGACCACACGCATGCACGCTCACGTATGTATTCCCACACACACTATATCAACCACACACACGCTTAACGCTGACCACAGGCACACATGCTCAGACACATATGTACGACTGCACACACTACATCAACCACACACACGCCTAACGCTGACCACACACACACACACGCTCATGCACATACACACGCTGGCACATACAAACACACACCCATTCCCATACCTGGTACACACATCCTCACAGGAACACACAAGGCTGAACAGCCACACTTGCATGAATGCCAGACATGGACTGAAGACCCTCTTGGGGGTGCTGTTCCCTAGCTGGGGGACCCATATGCAGGAGCATCTGCTCCACCCCGTGGACAGGAGAAGGTGGCTGGGCGCTGCGCCCTGGCTGCACATGGGTGGGGGCCAGGAAAGACTTTGGACATGTGCCTCAGGGGACCAGGCAGGTGAGAAAGAGGCAGAGGCCCCTTCTCCCCCAGCCCTAGCTCCCCCAACACAGGGCAGCTCTGGCCCTACAGGTACCACGGGGCTGATGTCCTGAGAGGCACCTCCCACCTCCAGTCCCCTCACCCTGCCCCAGTGGCTGGCACTGCAGGAGGCCCCCAGGCACAGGAGAAGAATGAAGGCATGCACTGCACACATACATGCACACCCATGCACCCATGCACTGCACACATACATGCACACCTGTGCACACACAGGCACACACTGCACACATACCTGCACACCCATGCACCCACACAGGCACGCACTGCACACATACATGCACACACAGGCACACACACTGCACACACACATGCACACCCATGCACACATACATGCACACCCATGCACATATACATGCACACCCATGCACACACACACACAGAGGAATGCACTACACACATGCACACCTGTGCACACACAGGCACACACTGCACACACACATGCACACTCGTGCACACAGAGGCACGCACCGCACAGAGGCATGCACCACACACACAGGCACGCACTGCACACATACATGCACACCTGTGCATACACAGGCACACACTGCCCACCTATGCACCCACAGGCACACACTGTGCACATATATGCGCACTCGTGCACAGAGGCACACACTGAACACATACATGCACACACAGGCACACACAGGCACACACTGCACACATACATGCACACCTATGCACACACAGGCACACTGCACACATTCATGCACACCCATGCACACACACAGGCACACACTACACACATACATCCACTCCCGTGCACACACAGGCACACAATGCACACATACATGCACACTCGTGCACACACAGGCACACACTACACACATACATGCACACCCATGCACACACACAGGCACACACTGCACACATACATGCACACCCATGCACACACAGAGGCATGCACTACACACATGCACACCCGTGCACACACAGGCACACACTGCACACATACATGCACACCCATGCACACACAGAGAGGCATGCACTACACACATACATGCACACCTGTGCACACACAGGCACACATTGCACACACATGCACATGTGCACCCACATAGGCCCACACGTATGTCCACACTCCTGTGCACTGCCACACACGCACACAGCACGCTTGTGCACACACGTGCCTGCAAACATGGGCACAGTCGTGTACTGAGTGGTGACATACGTCTGAGGACCCCACAGAGTATGCTGTTTAAAGGCAGGGCGCCAGTGTGATGCATGTTTGGGCCGGTCCCTGTCCCCCTGTGGGGCCTGGGGATCCTTCTGGCTGTTGTCCGCAGGTCTGGGGCCTGCCAGCTCACACGGTGGTGTCCAGACATGCGGACTAGGGAAGGGAGCCCAGGTCGGCTGTGCCCCCAGGGCCACCCCTCACAAACAGCAGGCCCTCCTGCTCAGGCTCAGAGGGGAGACACCTGGTGATGAGGAGCCCCCCCCCCTCAGGGAGGCCGGACACCGGGAACCCCAGCATCGTGCAAGCTGGGTGTGCCAAATGCCATCAGAGAATCTCCGGATGGCTTTAGGGGCGAATGCCATGGGGCCTGTGGGTGAGGCCTCCCCTCAGGGACGGGGCCAGCTGTCCAGAACGTGGGCTTCTGCTCTCACAGGATCCTGAGCCAGTGGGCTTCCCTGGCCACCCAGGGGTCTCGTCATGTGCTGAGGGCTCCCAGGCCTGAACTCTGGACCCTGTAGCCTCCACCCTGCTCTGGCACAGGTGAGAGGAATGACCCCCTCGCCGCTTGCCCAAGTCCGCAGTGGCTGGACAAGTGAGGGGCAGGGGTCGACGGGTCTAAGAGGCCAGGGTGAGAGACGGAGAGGCACAGGTGGCGCTCACCAGCCGAGCGACCCCAGGTCCGTGGGCACCCTACCCGCATCCCAGCAGACACCCCCACGTCACCCCCAAGGTCGGGAGCCATCTGGCCGTCCTGTCGTCGCCTCCAGAGGGGGCCTCAGAGACCCCGGGGCTCTCAGCCTCCCTGCTGCTGGGCCAGGAGGCTTCATGCTCAAGTGGAATAGGCCCGGCCGGGATGCGGGGCTGTGGAGTGGCCTCAGCAGGAGTTTAATGGGCTGTGGCAGACACCGGGGAGAGAGGTGACATGCTGTGAATAGCAACTCGGCCTCGGCGGGCAGATGCCTGTCTGTCTGCCCAGTGCCCCCTCCCGCGGAAACTCCAGCAGACACCTGCCCAGCACCCATGAGGGCCCCGCGGCAGAACGGAGCCTTGTGACTTCCCACACATCAGCCTCTCCTGAAATACAGTCTGACCTTGTCGCGGCTGGCCAGCCTTCGGTGACACGTTTGCTGGCACAGACCCAGCTTCTTGGGCAGGGCCAGAGGGTTCTTCGTGGCCCAGCCTACCCTCCTCCCTCCCTGCCCCTCACCATCCCCAGCAAGGCGTGCCTGGGTGGGCCGTGGGGTAAATCTGAGAGCAGGGACCTCTAAGACCTGTTTCTTTCAGGACAGGAGTGGTCCCCACTTGGCAATTGTGCGGCCACAGACTCCGCCTTATTCCAGGTGGGAGGACGGATGTGGGGAGGCAGGTGGATGTGAACCCCCAGGTCTGGGTAGCTCTCCAGTGCAGCAGCAGGTCAGCCAGTCCCTGGGTCTCGGGGGGGAGGGCATGCTTCCCACTGAGGACCCCTCTCTCCCGGCATGTCTCCATGTGGGGCTTCTGCGTGTTCAGAAAGCCCCCACTCCCACCCTGCTCAGGCAGACTTTGAGCCAGGGGCACACAGGGACGCCTGGGTCATTGGGCACATTTCAAGTACATTGTCTTGTGACCAATTGATTTTCTTCGGCCATCGGATTCGAACAGGACCAATATGAAGCTCCGTTCCCGGCTGGGAGCGCTGGCGGCCAGTTCCCGGGCCTGCTGACAGCTCTCCGCACACTGCCAGGCCCCCACCACACCCCCACCTCGGCCCCCGAGGCGCCTTCTGCTCTGAGCTCGTCCTGGCCCAGAGGCCACACGGACCCTGCAGTGGGACTGTCCTCTTCTCCGCAGGGGACCCCCGGGACCCCCAGCGTTGCGCTCCCCCAGGCAGCATTTGTGTCCAGTCTCAGCTTCGGAGCCCAGCCTGACATCGGCACACGGGAGGTTCTGGAGGCACCTGCTGGACTCCGAGAGGGATGACGGTCCGCCTGCTCCTCAGGGACCTGGGACCTGTGCTGTTGTGGCACCCAAAGCGGTGTACCCTCTTCGTCTCGTCTGAATTCCCAGGGGGCGGCCAGCACTACCCATCCCTCAAGCCTGGCTGCCTGACCTGTGTGTCTCTTCTGCAGCCACTATTCTGCTGGATTGCAGTGTTTTGCCTCAGATCCCACACCCCCTGTCCACAGTGGCTGAAATCCCATGGGAATCTGGGCAGGACACCTCCTCCAGGAAGCCCTCCTTGCATTGCTCCCACAGAACATCTCTCCGTCTATTGAGTACCGCTGGTTCTTGCCTGTACTGACCCAACGGTGCTGCCTGCAGGTGGCCACAGCCTCCAGGACCTTCTGGCCCACTTGCTGATGCGCTGGCGGCTTCCAGCTGAGAGAGCGCTCACACATGCATGGCCACGTGTCTCGGGCCCACACCACAGTGAAGTTGCTGGGACACAGGGCACTGGTGCCCACTTCACCAGCGAGTGCCGGGCTGGTTTCCAAAGATGCCGCTCCGTGTGTCCTCCCACCAGCGCGAGGGAGGGCTGCTGCGATGTCCTTGCCAACACACGCCGCTGTCCGCTCTTCAGTTCTCGCCAGCCTGGCAGTGTTGGGAAGGCATTCGTGGGGCGTGTATTTTGCATCTCCCTGATTGCAATAAGTAAACATCTTTCCCACGTTCAGCAGCCACGTGGATTTTCTCTGGGGCCACGTCTCTTTCTTGACCCCGCTGTGGAGCCAGCCGTTATAATTAGCTGTGGAATGAGTGAGTTCCCACATCTTACGCAGCCTCTGTGTGTCCTGGGCCTGGCGCCACCACGCTTTCCCTGCAGCTGCCCCATGCCCTTGGCCTTCCTGGCACTCTCGGGGGCTCCTGCCACTGCCCCTGGGGTGTGATAAGCTTTGCGGCCCCCTCCCCTCACCCAGCACCGCCTTCTGGTGCAAGTCAGGCGCAGGCACGTGCCCCGATGGAGATTTCAGAAACTTGCGAGCCACACATGCACGGAAAGCAGAGTCTGAACGCGGGGGGGTTCTCAACACGGGGCATGGCGGGCTCAGAGCTGGGCACCGGGTCGGGCCGGGACCCCTCCCGAGTTACAGGAGTGTCGTGGAGGGCCCGCCAGAACGTTCCCATGCACACTGCTAACTGGGTGGCGTTGCAGTGCATCTGGAGGCCTTGGTGGCCGCTAGGCAATGGAGTCCCCCAGCCCCGCTGTGTGCCGTGTGGGGGCTGCTGTCAGGGGGAGGCGTGTGCACAAAGATGGCATGTGGCTCCGAGTTGGGACCTGGGCTCACGGCTGGTGCTGCGTGTTCTGTGTACGTGGCACCGGCCGCTGCCTCCGTGTGTGGCGCGGGGCGGCCCTCAAGTCTCAGGCCCCCGGTGCGTGAAGGAGCTGTGGGAAGAGCCGCATTCTCGGGCAGCCTCCCAGAGTGATGGGGCGGCGGCCTCCTGACATATGCCCTGGGATGTGTCCCGGGGGGTTCTGAAGGCTGCGGGCAGAGCATGCCCCTCCCGCTCCGTCGGAGCTGCGATGATCTCTGAAGCTTCACTGATTGCCCTGCTGATCCTCTCTACAGCCTTCAACGACACCAAATCCAGGCCACAGTGGGGGCAGGGGCAGTGCCAACCCCCGCAGAGCCACCGGGGTTTCTAGGTGGCTGGGCAGCGAGCCTCCTGGGGCCAATGCTGAACCTTCCCAGAGGACGGTGCTTCTGCAGCAGAAACTCCTGGTCCCTTCAGAGCCCGCTACCCAGGCAGCGATGTGGGCTGCAAGGGCGTCCGGCTTGGGACTGCTGCTGCCCACATGCCCTGCTCCAGCCTCGCCTGGCCAGCTGTTTAAAGAGGGCACCACAACATCCTACCAACGGCTGCAGGTGACGACGCCGTCACCAGACACACACACACATGCCCGGCGTCTGGCTCTTGCCTGCTGGAGGCCTGGCAGCTCTTGGACCCCCGAAAGGATGAGGTTCCCTCCGGGAGCGGCTGCATCGCCCAGGGGCCACCTGCCATGCCAACGCCGGGCCTGGCTTGTCCACTCCAACCCAACCAAGCCAGAGCTGAGCTATAGGGTCAGACCCAGCCCAGGCGGGGTCTGGCCTCGGGCCAGTTCCGGCAGACGGTGCTGCGGGGTGGGTCGTCCCTGAGCAGAAGCGCCAGGGTATGCAGATGGCAGCCAGAGCCCCTCTGCGCCCTGGAGGGTAGCGCGGTCCTGGGCGAAGGCCCGTGGAACCACAGAGCAGGAAGCAGCTCTCAGTCTCGCGGCTGGGGGGGAGGGCGGTCACCCTGAACCTCAGCTCCGGGGCCTCCTCCCGCAGCTCCTGAGCGGCGCCTAACTGGGCTCCTGGGCGCGGCGGGGAGGTGAGCAGACCCCCCACCGCCCCCTGGCCGGCCCCGCACGGTCCCGCCGGGGTTCCCATCAGGAGCCGCCGCGCGGAACTTCCTCGGGGGCTACCCACCCACCCAGCCGCCCGTCGCCGTCCCGCGCGCACTCGGGGTTCTGTTCCCTCCGGAGGAAATCGAGGATGGCGGTGGGACCCCCTCGGCCAAGACCCAAAGGAGGGCCCGGGGCGGCGGGAGCTGCGGCCCCTCCCGAGTCCTCCTCCGCGCTCCCCGCGGAGCCCCCGGCGGCAGAACGTCCCCCCCCCGGGCCCGGGGCTCACCTCGTCCTCGGGGAGGGTGGGCAGCGGCTCGAAGTCGTAGAAGTCCAGGTCTTTACCGTCCTCCTCGTACAGACCCGCCGCGGCCGGGTCCATGGCCTGCATCCTGCGGCCGCGCCGCGCACCGGCCCCCGGGCCAGCGAGCCGCCTCCTCCGCGCCCAGCGGCCGGGCTGGGCTGGGCTCGGCGACGCGCGCCCCGGCTCCAAGGCGACGCGCCCGGCCCCCGCCCGCCGCTGCCGCAGTGTGGCCGGGGGACGAGCAGGAACTCGGGGTCGCGGGGGCTGCGCGGGGGCTGCGCGGCGCTGTCCGGACCCGGCGCCTCGGGCACGTCGCCCCCTCCCGGGGGTGGCACCGGGGGCGGAGCCAGGCGTGTGGCCGCCGCGGGGAGCCCCGGGGTCTGCGCCCACCCTGGGCTCCGAGGGTCGAGGGGCGGAGCCGGCGCCCCGAGAGCACTGGCGGCCCGACCCCCTCGCCGGCACCCACGGCCCCCGTTCCGCCCCCGCGGCCGCCGGGCGGGGCTGCCGCAGTCCCGGGGTGGCCTCTGCAGAGGCGTCCGGGCAGGGCCGGGCGGGGCGCGGGGGCGGGGGCGGGGCCGCGGGGGCGGGCAGGGGGCGGGGCCGCGGGGGCGGGCAGGGGGCGGGGCCGCGGGCAGGGGGCGGGGCCGCCGGGGGGGCCTCTACTGAGCGAGGGTCTTTCGGAGGTTCGGGGGGCGTGGGGGGCGGGAAGGAGGCGGCAAATGTGCCTCGTCCCCACCTGGAGGCCTCAGACCCACAGGGCACCGCCCTCCCCCGGTCCAGAGGGGTCTTGGGGGTCCTGGGGGTCCCGGGGCTCTTGGGCGACCTCTTCCTGCCCCACAGGCTCCTCCGGGGCTTTCTTCAGCGCCAGGGTGAGCCCTGGACCCCCAGTGGAGCCGCGGTCGGGATAAGAGCCAGGACAGTCCCGAGCTCGGCAAAGGGTCGGGGGTTGGGGGTGGAGGCGAATCTCACCTTCCCTGGCGGCCCCCTGCCCTCCCACAGGAGAGGGGAGGTTTCAGGGCCGGGCTCTCAGCTCCCGCGTCTGGCCGGCCGGGCACACAGTAGGCGCTTAATAAATGCTCCTGGCTTGAAGGAGGCTTTTGACGGCAGAGTGGGAGGGGGCGGTGTGCTCAGGGAGGTGAAGTCCCAGCACTCAGGCCCCGGATGGGGTTACCTGGACCCTCACTCTGGCCTGGCAGGGGGTGCAGGGGCTCAGCTCCCCAGGAGCCAGGTGGGCACTGAAGCCCGAGGCTGGGAGTGGGGAAGGTGCTGGGCACCCTGCATCCAGCCAGGCAGCCCCACCTTGTTCAAAATGCCCACCCTAGGGCCCACCCTGGTCCACCGAGTCAGCAGCTGGGTGCAACTTCCCCCATCCTTGGGTGTTTGGAAGCTCAAGGTGGGCTGGAGGCCCCAGAGCTGGAGAGGAGGAGTCTCACAGAGTGTGGACTCAGCCAGCTGTCCCTGAGCCCTCTCTGTGGGCCCCACAGGGCCTGCAGCACCCTGCCCCACCTCTGAAGGAGGCCGGTGTGGCAGGCAGCCTCTGCTCTGGGAGCCCCATCCCAGTGCACCCTGGTGCTCAGACCTGGACGTTGGAGCTGGGCCCCTGGGCTGCAGACTGGGGCTGCCACCTCCTCTGCCAGGCCTGGATATGGTCCTGATGCCTCGCCCCTGCTGCCTGGCCTGTGCCTCTGGGGAACACTGGGCTGATGTGACCCCAATGGGAAGGCACCGGGGACCCCACAAGTGCAGGACTTGGTCACTGAGTGCTCAGGTCACCCGGTGGGCGTGGGAGTGAGAACACAGAAGCTTAGCAGGAGGCGAAGATAACCCCGTAACTGGAGGGCAGCCAGGCTGCAGCGCTCCTGGAAAGAAGCCATTGGATTTAGCGAAACGCAGAACGCACAGGCTCCCGGAGTGGCCGTGTTAGCGCTGGCTGTTGGATCCCAGAATCCTCAGCAGGCATTTCCCATGTCCAGGGCACTCAGAGCTGCTCCTCCTGTCCAGGCCAGGGCAGGTGGGCGCATGGGGAGGGCCTGGGCAGGGACCGCAGGTTCTTTCTTTTACCCACCTACTGCTTTGCTTTAAAGGTCTGTGGGCTCTGGTCTTTGTTGGGGACCAGCAGGAACTTCTGGACATGGGAGTCATCCTGGCTCCTGCGTGCTCACCTGCAGTGATGAGCTTTGCTCCAAGTGGAGGGCCCGATGTCAGCCCTGTGTCCTGGCGCCTCGGTTATGTTGGATGAGGGTGTAGTTCTGGAGATCACGCCCTGCGTCTTCCAGAGCTGGTGAGCAGTTTCTGGGTGCCACATGGAAATGGCTTCAGAGCCTTCCATGAGCCACAAGGAACGGCCTCCTCATTGAGCCCTCTGCCTCTCTGTGCCAGCCCCGTGTGCCCTGCACACGCTGGCACAGCTTCCTCCCAAGGACCTTGCAGTGATGTTGGAAGTCAGAGGGTGTTCTGGGCTGTACGATCAGGTCCGTGGTCCGGGCCATGGCTTGGTGGTCCAGGACTGTGGTCCAGGCCATGGCTTGGTGGTCCAGGTCTGTGGTCCAGGCCATGGCTTGGTGGTCCAGGACTGTGGTCCAGGTGGTGATGGGGGCACTCCTGTCCTCTTACTTCCAACTCCTCCCTGGCCATCTACCTACTCTCTGCCCCCCTCACCCCCCACCACCCTTTCCTACCAGACATTTCCCTCTGCTGGATGCAGCTGCCTGAACTGTGGCTCCGGGCTGAAGCAAGGAACCTGGTTCCCCCTCCCTGCCCAGGCCGGACCTATCCTGGACGCTGTCAGGACCCGCCTTGCTCTGGTGCTGTCTCCCGTCAGGGCTGTGTGCAGAGGCGGCTGGAGCAGGGTCTTTCCCTAAAACAATTTTGAAAAGCTGCCAAACCACTCACATGTTAAAGTCAACATCTACATTTCTTTAAAAATCCAAAAATGTAAATAATTGCAAATAATGTCATTTCTGGTGTAACGTAAATACTCACATGTTGAAATAAAACTGTTAGTCACGCTTGTAAATGTATCCAGGAAGCCGAATGCCAACATGGTCTGATACCCGCTGTCAGTCGTGTGAAGAAGACACAAACACGTTCTTCTCCAGCGGGCCGAGGTCTTGGGCGGACATTTTTGCTTCGACGCATCGTGGTCATCTGGCTGCTGCCCAGATTGTATCTAATTATGAACTATTTTTATGCCTGAATTTCCGTTGGCTCCTCACCACGCTTTGTAACAAATACACATGTAAATTTTAATAAATCAGGTATTTAATAAATAAAAAATTTTTTAACCTTTTTTGCTTCCAGTGACTACAGGCTCATTTTATCAAAGTCAGGGTTGACGTAAGCGGCGGTGCTTGTGTTAGAGACGGGAGCCGGCACGCAGGACCCGTGGACCACGTGGACCACGACCGGCTTCTGCGGGAGCTGCCCCGTGGCTCTGGCGGCAACACTGCCTCCTCGCTCCCTGTCTGCGCCAGGCTGGCCTCGTCCTGCCATGCTCACCCCTCAGGGGAGCCAGCACCTCTGGGAGCAGACTGAGCCCCCATCCCTCAGCAGCCGCTGCCACTGCCACCCCCGGGAGCCCCACTGCTCTCTGCGCCTTCCAGCTCCCAGCACTGTCTCTCTGTCGAGGTGGCAGGTTCGCCGTCTGCTGTCCGGCAGGGTCCAGGCTGCTGGGATTCCCTCTGCTCAGGAAGGCCGTGTTGATCTGCTGAAGGCCAGCAGGCCACGTGCCACCCACGCCCCATCACCATCACACAAACACGCCTCTGCGTTGCAGACCTCCACCCTCCACCTGGGTGTGAGCAAACCCGGGCGGGCTCAGTTCTCGGTTGGGGGAGCCGGGAAGGTGCCATCCCAGGACACACCGTGCCCTGCCTCAAGGGACTGGCCGGGGCGGTGACCCTTCTTTACAGTGCTTGAAGGGTGGCAGGGTGAGGTCACAAAGGACATGTCCAGCTCAGCCGCCCTCCGAAGAGCCCAAACTCGGCTTCTCACACTGGGGGAGCTTGAGAAAGACTGGTCAGCAATGGGGCGCCTCTGTGGGAAACTGCTCAGGGAAGCCTGGGCCTGAGCCCTGGGTCCTGGAGAGTGGAGGGAGGAAGGGGATCCACCGCTGCTGGGAGCCCAGCCAGGGAGCTGCACCTCTCCCCCTCCCCCACATCTCCCCCTCCCCACCTCTCCCCCTCCCCCACCTCTCCCCCTCCCCACCTGTCCCCCTTCCCCCACCTGTCCCCCTCCCCCACTTCTCCCCCTCCCCCCCTCTCCCCCCTCCCCCACCTCTCCCCCTCCCCACCTCTCCCCTCCCCCACCTCTCCCCCTCCCCACCTCTCCCCCTCCCCCACCTCTCCCCCTCCCCACCTCTCCCCCTCTCCCCCTCCCCACCTCTCCCCTCCCCCACCTCTCCCCCTCCCCCACCTCTCCCCCTCCCCACCTCTCCCCCTCCCCACCTCTCCCCCTCCCCCACCTCTCCCCCTCCCCACCTCTCCCCCTCCCACCTCTCCCCTCCCCTCCCCTCTCCCTACCCCACCTTTCCCCTCCCTCATACTTTTCACCCTCCCCCAACTCTCACCCTCCCCACCTCTCACCCTCCCCCACCTCTCATTCTCCCCCACCTCTCACCCTCCCTTCACCTCTCACTGTCCCCCACCTCTCAGTCTCCACCTCTCCCCTCCCACACCTCTCCCCTGCCCCACCTTTCCCCTCCCTCCCCTCTCTCCCTCCCCCACCTCTCCCCTCCCTCACACCTCTTCCCCTCCCCCACCTCTCCCCTCCCCCACCTCTCCCCTCCCCCACCTCCCCCTCCCCCCACCTCTCCCCCTCCCTCCCAGGCGCACATGCCCACGCCTGCACACGCTCTGTGATTCTGACACAGGCGTGGTGTAAGCACCCAGGTTAAGCAGAGCACTTGAGCTTGGAGGTCCATTCCCTCTTTCGGTTGCCTGGGTTGGCTCCCAGAGCGTCCAGGTGAGGGGCGGCCTGGAGGCTCAGAACCCAGAGCTCGCTGCCCACAGGATGCAGCCGCCATTCACACCTGCCTTCCAGAGGACGCACAAACATGTCAGATGCGCGCGGCCAGCCAGGAGCACCTGACCTCACAGCCCCGAGGGCAGAAAATGGGGACACCAGGAGGGGTGTTCAGAGCCCTTCCTTCAAACACGCTTCACAGAGCGGGGCAGAAACGGAGGACGCCCCACTGCCACCGCCAGAGTGAGCACCCACGGAACTGCCCCCCACGGGGCCCGGCCTCCAACTGCCAGCCCCAGCCCCGCTGGCGGCCCCGCGCACACTCACGGAGGTGATGTCCGTGCTTTTCCTCGCAGCTTCGCCGCCTCAGCACGTGCCGTTACACTCCGCAGTTTAGTGTCACCTGTTTTGGTTTTGACAATCTGTATACGGTAGAATCAGACAATGTGCATTTGTGTGTGTGTGTATTCGTGTGTATTGGGGTGTGTGTGTGTGTATTTGTGTGTACGTGTGTATTGGTGTGTTTGTATTTGTGTATACATGTGTATTGGTGTGTGTATTTGTGTGTATTGGTGTGTGTGTGTATAT